TCCTGGGTGGGTCCTACCTTATATATACTAGGCATGGGTAGGCAAACTAAGGCCCGGGGGCCGGATCTGGCCCAATTGCCTTCTAAATCCGGCCTGCGGATGGTCAGGAATCAGTGTGTTTTTACATTAGCAGAATGTGTCCTTTTATTTAAAATGCATCTCTGGGTTATTTGTGGGGCATAGTAATTCGTTCATTCCCCCCCCCATATAGTCTGGCCCCCCACAAGGTCTGAGGGACAGTGAACCCGGCCCCTTGCTGAAAAAGTTTGCTGACCCTTGTATTAGAGACCCAAGAGATCGCTTTCTGAAACCTTTGTTCTCGGAAGCATGCAGGCACACCCCGCAGAAATGGTTCAGTTTCTTTTGAGTGACAATCATAGCTTCATAACACAGAGAGTGGCTCTCTTCTCCGGCTGGGAAAAAAAAAACATTAAAAAGGAGTTAAGATAAAATCGCTATAAGTTGTTTGGCTGATTTGGAGGTTTAATCTGAGCTAGATTTAAGCTTTCTACTTGCCTCTGGTACCTTATTTCTCTCACATCATTGATGTGGTATATGGATATTATGGGTATATGTTCTGTATTATTTTATTAATACTGTGGCTAGAACATATCAGGGGGTTGGACTAGATGACCCTTGGATCCCTTCCAGCTCTACATTTCTTTGATTCCAGTGAATTTATGAACAACTTCAAAGGAACCTTATATATACCTTGTGGCATGTTAGAGGCTTGTGATCAACTTGTGCCTGCCTAGTAAGCCATGTCTTCCTTCATAACTGAACTGTTGTGCTGTTTCTTGCTGTATTGTTTGTTTGCTTTCTCCATATCATTTCATCACAAGTCATTAACATGCCTGCTATTTCTACTGCCTCTTTTTAAGACTTGTAGTCAGCCTATTAATTCAACCATCAGCTGTTCAAAATGTTATGATTTAGCTTTTGCATCAATTAAGTTCCCCTCTTGTATATTAATATAATTCTCTATTCCGTTAAGCTATCTACGTTTCTGTCACGTATTAAAGCTCTTTCCCATAGCTGGTTTTCTTATCCAGTATTATTTATTCAGAGGCTCTATCAAAGAGCATGTTTCTGGAGTTCTTTCTTTCAAGTTTTGCCCAAAGGTATAAGCCTGGGAGAAACTCCTTTGTTTTTAATGTACTATTGCTGCTCTTGGTTGGCATTATAGTTGTTGTATGTTACTGCTTTTGTGATACTTTGCTAGTTGAATATTGTTGTTAAGCGGCTGGAACTGTTTTATTCATTGGTTTGCCATTATGGATTTAGTATGGTATTGAACTATTTATTTTTTGTGTGTGTTTATACAGCTTGTCTGTTGATTCGTGTTTTATTTATTGTCAGCCGCTTTGGGCTTCTTTTCAGAAGGAAAAACAAGGTACAAATATGAATTGAAGCAGGAGAAATGATGTGAAATCCTGCTTTTTAAAACAAAATTTACATATGGTGCGGGTAGAGAGAAAATGTTCTCTTTAATTCCCCCAAGCTGTTTGGCAGTAGCACCAGGGCAGACAATTCTTTGCACAGCACATTGTGAACTTACAAAATATGTTACCTGAAAATTCAATGATGACTCTCTTTCCTCTGCCATTCCTCTAATTAAATTCACAGCCTCCAGCATCTTCTTAAAAACCGTATCGGTTGTATGATTCTCCTGTGTAATGTCTAAATTTGTTTGGCCCATACACTACAAGGAATATTAAAATAAGATAATTCTCACGGTACTTAATAGCCTCTGCAAATAGCTCCAGTTTGGAGGCAATCTTTAAATTTCCTTGCATGTGATGTTAGCAACAGCCTGGAAGTAATTCATAGTGAGAACACGGAATATGATAAGAAAGAAAGGAGACTGGCTGAGCAAAGCCTATTAAGGCAAGAACTGCCTGAATCTGGGCAAGGGGGGATCTTAAATCAAAAGCAGCCGCGTCTGTCAACACCAGTTATTGCTAATGCAGGCCCGAACAAGAAGTAATGAACTCGCTGTTGCAGCAAGTTGAAATGAGTTGGGAATCTTGTACGGGGAATGATGAAGAATAAAATGAGCATCTCTGCCTAGAACCAGAATGCTTCTTGGCCATCCCTGAGGAGATGTGAATACTTGGGTATGAGCCCTTCCCTGTTCCACATTTGAAGCACATAAACATCCCTCAAGGAATTCCTTGAAACTGTGGTTTGTTAAGGGTGCTGGGGACTGTAGCTCCGGGAAGGTGTAAACTACAGAGGTTGAATCCTGACAAGTACAGTGGTACCTCGGGTTAAGTACTTAATTCGTTCTGGAGGTCCGCTCTTAACCTGAAACTGTTCTTAACCTGAAGCATCACTTTAGTTAATGGGGCCTCCTGCTGCCGCCGGAGCATGATTTCTGTTCTCATCCTGAAGCAAAGTTCTTAACCCAAGGTACTATTTCTGGGTTAGCAGAGTCTGTAACCTGAAGCGTATGTAACCTGAGGTACCACTGTACTGTTTTGGGGGAACAGGGAGCAGGCAGGTGTGGGGGACTCCCTAGTCCTGAATGGGGTCACTGTGTCCCTGAAGGACCAGGTGCACAGCCTGGGAGTCATTCTGGACTCACAGCTGTCCATGGAGGCGCTGGTCAATTCTGTGTCCAGGGCAGCTGTCTGCCAGCTCCATCTGGTACGCAGGCTGAGACCCTACCTGCCCGCGGACTGTCTCGCCAGAGAGGTGCATGCTCTGGTCATCTCCCACTTGGACTACTGCAATGCGCTCTTTGTGGGGCTACCTTTGAAGGTGACCCGGAAACTGCAATTAATCCAGAATGCAGCAGCTAGACTGGTGACTGGGAGTGGCTGCCGAGAACATATAACACTGGTCCCGAAAGACCTACACTGGCTCCCAGTACGTTTCTGAGCACAATTCAAAGTGTTGGTGCTGACCTTTAAAGCCCTGAACGGCCTCAGCCAGGTATACCTGAAGGAGCGTCTCCATCCCTATTGTTCAGCCTGGACACTGAGGTCCAGCTCCAAGGGCCTTCTGGTGGTTCCCTCACTGCGAGAAGCCAAGTTCCAAGGAACCAGGCAGAGGGCCTTCTCGACAGTGGCGCCACCCTGCAGAATGCCCTCTCATCAGAGGTCAAGGAAATAAACAACTATCTGACTTTTAGAAGACATCTGAAGGCAGCCCTGTTTAGGGAAGTTTTTAATGTTTGATGTTTTATTGCTTTATTATTATTATTATTATTATTATTATTATTATTGTTGTTGTTGTTGTTATTCTGTTGGGAGCAGCCCACAGTGGCTGGGCAAACCCAGCCAGATGGGTGGGGTATATATAATAATAATAATAATAATAATAATAATAATAATAATAATAATTCAAAGCATTCTTTGGGGAGGTGATGTGCTTTCAGTGTACACTCAGCCTGCATCGTGTGTGTGTGTGTGTACCTCGACGGAGCAAGAAAGCACAGTGGGAGTTGGGAGATTTTAGCTTGCCCTGCTTCACTTCATCGTCCGATGTGTCATCCTGCTAAGACGAGGTTTTTACACGCAAAGAATTCCCCTCCTTATGAGCAAGTTTTTCATTTCTTGTAATCCTAACAAGGATACATGCAGAGAGACGCATAGGCTTAAGAAAGGGAAAAAGCAAGACATGAATCATTCCTATCACCGTGCTTGCGAACGGCACTGATAAATGAAATGTTATATATATATTTCTTTCGCCATATCCTTCCTAAGCCATTTGACCCTCCTGAATGTTGAGTAAGTAATTATCTTTGCTTATGCAATGGGCCATAATGTTTAGTGAGCGGAGATCTTTGCTTACAGTTTTCAACTGTGTTTGCCTTACTTTGGGTAGCTCTTTTGGCTTTTAAAGAGGTTTTGCTCATGCGACAGTAGAACTTTTTATTCCTTTTGCCTAAACAAAAAGCAATTGCTTACTGTGCTATTTCCTGACAGAATGGTTGGCCCAAATTTATTTTGAAATCTTGCCCCCGCCTTGGACTCCACGAAGCAGTTCAGTGCGACTCCTCTGTCCAACATTAGGGTCTTCTCATAGTCTGGTGTGCCAGTACACATGTGGTTCCTTTTTGACTCTTTAAGCAACAAATGAGCAATAGTTAAAGCGGCTACAAATATGTAGTAATAGTAATAATAATAATAATAATAATTTATGATTGTGGCATTCGTACGGAGCGTTCGTACGGGGCAATAGTCTCACGGACTATTGACCCGTACACCACTAATCCGCTGCCACCAACCAGGTCCTCCCTGGTAAAATCACTTCAGCCTCAGTCAGCTGTTCAATTAATAAAGAGTGTATTTTATTTCAGACACAAACAAACTTTTCCGGCATTCCAAACGTTGTTACTCTTTACTTTCTTTGTCTTATTTTCCTCTATCTCTTCTACCTCCCCTCACTCAAGAACCCACTGCTCTAACCGTTTCTCTATTTTCAACTGCCTGGCAACTTCTTCTCCAACTGCCTTTCCCAACCAGCCAACCTACTAAAACCAACCAACTACCCACCAACAACTCTGGAGCATCTCCCACCATTTTCTTAATTTGGAGTCCCCAGAAATAGGGGACATCTTATACACGGAGGCGTGTTATACATGGGAAAATACGGTATTTAAATAGTCCAAAAAAGGCCATACTTTTATTTTTTGAAGGCTTAAGACTAAAGTATTAAATAGTTAAAACACCCAGCAGGAAAATTGTATTTCCTTGGATTGGGGGAGGGTGGAATATGTACATGTATAGCTGACTATCCTTTTATCAAAGGCATAATAGCGAAAGAATCCATTGCTCCCTAATGTATTACGGCATAAGTTTTCATAACCAATTGTCTGGTTCTTTGGATAAAGTGAACATTAATCTAGGAAAAGTTTATTCCAGTATAAATCTGCTTGTCTTGAAGTGGAGGGCGATGACGACAGGCATCTTCGTTTGTTTTGCTGCAGCAGCCTAATATGGCTACCACTCTGGAACCAAAAACATAACCTGCATTTTTAACAATCGTTTCAGGTGCCTATGAAATCTCCCTTGAACGTCTTGACAACACATCAGTTAGGATTAAACCTGGAACGCAAGGAAGGTGTGCACTGGTTGTAGGAGGAAACAAGTCTTATTCCGAAAGGAAAATAACCTCTGGGCAGTGGCTTCGTTTTGATTTTGATTGTGAAAGGCCGCAGAATTATTGGGAATTGGTGATTGAGAGGGACATTGGTAAGTTGCACTATGCTATCCAGTTTTTATGAGCTTCTAAAAGTAATTTGGATATTTGTCAACCTTAGCTGCATGCTGAAAGCCTAAATGACAAGGGTAAATATTATTTATCTTCTACTTGTTACAGTACCATCCTCTTTGTTGCTAAATAATGGCTTGGGGCTGTCAACTGAACTGAAATAACTTAACTGTATAAATCATCTTCCTTTTAACTGATTATTTAGCTGTTTTTATACAGGGGTAGGGACGCGGGTGGCGCTGTGGGTTAAACCACAGAGCCTAGGACTTGCTGATCAGAGGGTTGGCCTCGGGAGAAACCCGAATTACACACTAGAATGTGACTGTTCACCGCTGGTTCTGTTCAGTCCTCTGCTTTTAATTTTGAGAGTGTGCTTCTGACCATGTGTTCCTCCTGAGGAGCCCAATGCTCTTTAAAAAATGTCCCATTAAGATCTAAGCAACTGTGGGCTTTTATCTGCGACACGCAAAAAGGCCTGGCCATTAAAAAACCATACATTGTCAGAGAATCAGAATTGTAGGGCTGGAAGGGACCCCGTGGCTATCTAGTCCAACCCCTCAAATGCAAGAATCACAGTTAAATCACCCTGGCAGGTGGGTGTCCAAGCTCTGTTTAAAAACCTCTAGGGAAGGAGAGCCCACCAACTTCCAAGGTAGTCCATTCCAGTGTCAAACAGCTCTTGCCATCATAGAATAGAATAGAATAGAATAGAGTAGAATAGAATAGAATAGAATAGAATAGAATAGAATAGAAGAGATTTGATTGATTGATATGAAGCCCATTTCAAACAAGCTGCACTTAACAGCTGGAGGTTCTAATCAATTTAATTGACAGATCAATCAACTAAAAACATAGTTGATTAAACCATGGGCCAAGAGTTCTTAAGTGGACACGATGGTTTATATGAACCATTCTTGTTTTGGTTTTCTCCTGTGAAAAGCAACGGTCTGCAATTCCGCTTGCCACCCCTGGCCATGATCCATCACCCTCCGGCAAGGGTGGGTAGAGAAGCTTTAGCCTTTTCCAGCTTGGAGTTGGGGGGGGGGAAGAGGGGGTCATCCCTGTGGCTGCATCACACTCAGATGTTGAGCTCAAATGCAGGCGAAAATAGCCAACCTGAGGCTGCCAGATGGAGGCCGGTGCAAGCTGCAATGGCACTTAGAGCATCTTGCAGCCCAGCACCAAAGCAAGACCAAGCCTTCTCCTTCGGCTCCAAGAGAGAGGAGCTGAGATGCATAGCACCAAGCAAACCCATTTCTCCTCTTCCTCTTCCCCAACTGACAAATCTTGGAGAGGAGCAGTAGTGGGAGTGATTGTTACTGAGCCCTATAAAAGTGCAGCAGAAAACCAGCAGAAAAAGGAAAGGGTGGGATTCTGACTTGGCAAACAGGGCCAAACAAAAACAAAAAAGGAAGCAGCGTTTATTTTTTACAAGTTCTTTTACATTTCCCACAGTAGCTCAAAAAGCCCCTTGGTACGCGTACATTTTGGCTCCCGGACAATGGAAAACCAGAAGTGATTGTTCCGGTTTTCGAACATTCTTTGGAACCCGAACGTCTGATGCAACTTCCGTGGCTTCCGATTGGCCTCAGGAGCTCCCTGCAGCCAATCAGAAGCCTTGCCTTGGTTTCCAAACGTCTTGGAAGTCGAACGGATTCCGTTCGACTTCTGAGGTACCCCTGTATAAAGGTAAAGGGACCCCTGACCATTAGGTCCAGTCGAGACTGACATTGGGGTTGTGATGCTCATCTCACTTTATTGGCTGAGGGAGCCGGCATACAGCTTCCGGGTCATGTGATCATGTGACCTTCTGATCAGCAAGCCCTAGGCTCTGTGATTTAACCCACAGCGCCACCCGCATCCCTACGCAGTGCCACTATAGATAGCTACTATTCATTATTTAAGCCTACCCTCTGTCAAAGTCCAACTGATCTGAGTCTGTGACATTTATTTTCCTATATGATGTGAGCTCACAATAAAATATAATAGCACCTACTTCTCAAGTGAGAATGAGAGTGAGTTCCCATCAATGAACCCTCTGCATTATTGCAGCATTAATGCCGTGCTAATAAAATACCATTTTTCATCACTTCACATTCAAAGCCTTCAACTGTCACACATTTCCCAGAAGTTCCGAACACCACAATAGTGATTTTGGTAAAGACACAACCATGGATTTCAGTCTTCAAATAATAAACTAGGCTGGGTGGTTGTTAAAGAAAAAGAAAACGTAAAAGACGTGAGTGCCTTGTTTGCTTAGAACAGGGTTTCGCAAACTTGGGTCTCCAGCTGTTTTTGGAGTACAACTCCCATCATCCTTAGCTAGCAGGACCAGTGGTCCAGGATGATAGGAATTGTAGTCCAAAAACAACTGGAGACCTAAGTTTGGGAAACCCTGGCTTAGAATGTGCATAGAGAATTACTAAAAGCTCTTAACATAAATGAAAGAGTAAAAGGATTATAATTTAACTGGATGGTCTTGTGTGATGATCCTTCTTACATTATGTGTGTCTGTGTGCTTCTAGATTGTATGAGAGGACCATGTCCCTTTGGAGATGTTCTGCTTCTGCCTTCTGGGTTCCTGCCCTTTAACAAGACCTTCATATGGGACGTTAAAGCCAGAAGATTAGATGGGCTTGAACTGAAGTTCTCTCCGTTCTTAAGACAAGTTCTGCCTGGAGAGACTTGCCCCGACCAAGTTCTTTACAACATCGGCACCCTTCTTAATACGAACAGAGTCAACATCGGAAACTTCTGTGCAAATGGTACTGTGTCACGAATCAAGGTGCAAGGGGGAGTTATTATGACCCTGAAGCTTCCATGGAACTCTAATGTTCATGTCTCTGGCTTTAAGCTTGAAGGCAGGTCTTCCATCCAAAGTGAGTATGATTTGCTTCTGTTGTCAGCAAAAAAAATAATGATATTTTAACACACTATCTTTAAGTGTGGTTCTGTAGGCTTGCTTTCTTCTAAGTTGGTTGGAGGGGGATCTTCCTGGAGTAGGTTTCTCTCAAAGACATTTCTGGTTTTGCAGTGGGTGAGGGAGATCAGAGAAGGCGCTGAAGGACGGGGTTGGAAGAAGATAGCTTTTTAAGGAAAGGAGGGAGAATCCTGACCTTCATTTAGCATCCTAAGCCTACTTGCGAGCAATATGGAAGGGGCTAAATTACCGTATTTTTCGCCCTATAGGACGCACTTTTCCCCCTCCAAAAATGAAGGGGAAATCTGGGTGCGTCCTATGGGGCGAATGCAGGCTTTCGCTGAAACTTGGAGAGCGAGAGGGGTCGGTGCGAACCGACCCCTCTCGCTCTCCAGGCTTCGGGAACACATCCGCAGCCTAGGCAGCCCTGTGGGAGTTCCCGCAGGGCTGTCTAGGCTACGAATAGCAGCCTGCTTCCCGGAGCGCCGGGCGCGTTGATAGCAGATAGTTCCCGCAGGGCTCCCCACGCTGCGGATAGCAGCCTGCCACTCGGCACGAGGGGCGCCCTGAAGCAGAGTGCCCCGCCCGCCGGGCAGACATCCGCAGCGTGCGGAGCCTTGCAGGAGTTCCCCGCAGGGCTCCCCACGCTGCGGATAGCAGCCTACCGCCTGGCGCAAGGGGCGCCCTGAAGCAGAGCGCCCCGTGCGCCGTACAGACATCGGCCAGCTCCACAAGCTCAGGGGACAGCAAGAAGGCGCAGCGCCGCCATCCCGCTGTTCCACGACCTGGTTCGGTTTCCCCGACCTGGTTTTGGGGGGGGAATAAAGAAATCCCCCCCCTTTATTTCCCCCCCAAAAAACTAGGTGCATCCTATGGAACGGAGCCTCCTATGGGACGAAAAATACGGTAATGCGCTGGGCTGTTTCTTAAACACAAGCGTACATTTGTATATTAAATAATGTGCTAACATAACACAAGAATGGTATATTACATGTATCTATGGAAGATGTAGACTAGCTAAAATCCTAAAGGCCTGTCCAGAAGAATGGATGTGGGAAGGGATGAAGGCACATGTTACTTCTCACACTTTTAAAGAGGTGTGTGACCTATATGCTCAAAAAGTAACGTGAGGCGCGGCCCTGGTATATACCTATTCTGTTTGTCATAACGGAAATTACCTGTTTCTTTCATGTTGCATGTTGCAGTTCTCTTTCACAACTATATAACCTAAGGGCCCTGTGACAAAATTGCTCTTCATAAAAAACAACAACTTTACCTGTGTAATGTGAGTGTGCTTTCAAACAACCTCCCTTGAACCAACTGAAAATCGTTTTACCCAAATATATATATATAAAATCATTCTCATCTGTATTGTTTCTTGACTGTGTATTGACCTATAATACTTCTGCCAAACTCCCATGGTTCAATCTGCCCACCAGACCGTACAGAATGGGTTTTTCTTGTAAGCCAAAGCTGCTTAGTCAGAATAAAGAGTAAGTTAGCTTATACCAGCCCACATAAACATAGAGGGACCCCAGGGCCGGGTTTAAGTTTGATCAGGCCCTGAGCTACTGAAGGTAATGGGACCCTTTATATGTCCAGCTATCCTTTGTCAACAACAAATTGTTGCTGTTTTTTGTGTGTTGAATACCGTATTTTTCGCCCTATAGGACACACTTTTTCCCCTCCAAAAATGAAGGGGAAATGTGTGTGCGTCCTATGGGGCGAATGCAGGCTCTCGCTGAAGCCTGGAGAGCGAGGGGGGTCGGTGCGCACCGACCCCTCTCACTCTCCAGGCTTCAGGAAGCTTTCTGCAAGCCGTGGGAGAGCTGCGCGACTTCGCGCAGCTCTCCCATGGCTTGCGGAGAGCTGCCTGCACCCCGAAGCCTGGGGCGCACTGAGCTCAGCACGCCCCAGGCTTCGGGCTTCGCGCGGCTAGCGGAGAGCTTGCCTGCACCCAGAAGCTTGGGGGGCGCTGAGCTCAGCACGCCGCAGGCTTCAGGCTTCACGCAGCTCTCCGCTAGCCGTGGGAGAGCTGCGCGAAGTCGCGAAGCTCTCCCACGGCTTGCGGACAGCAGACTGTTCTGGGGGTTGGGGGCTGGGGTCGGAGGAAGCTCGGGCTTCCCCCGCCCCAGCCCCGCACCTGGGGGGGGGGGAAATAATTTTTTTTAAATTCCCCCCCCCCAAAAAAAACCTAGGTGCGCCCTATGGGCCGGTGCACCCTATGGGGTGAAAAATACGGTATATGCTATACAGTATGGTAATTTATGGACCTGCACAACACAAGACACAGTTGCTGTATGTGGGTTTTATTTTATTTGTTTTTTATCTTATATTTTGGAAATGTACATCCAGTTTTTTCTTTAATTTTTTTGGGAGCCCCCAAGAGAGTGGGGCCTATAGCTTGTTTAGCTTATATGTAAATCCGACACTGAGGGACCCCCAAAAAACCACAGTGTCACTGTCTTCACTTGAGCCAGAACTTGCAAGCTAAGCCCCGCACATGAGAGAATACAACACACATATCGCCTTAGAAACTAAACCAGGCATAGGCAAACTCAGCCCTCCACATGTTTTGGGACTACAATTCCCATCATCCCTGACCACTGGTCCTGTTAGCTAGGGATCATGGGAGTTGTAGTTCCAAAACATCTGGATGGCCGAGTTTGCCTGTGCCTGAACTCTCTTTTATGCTTATAGTGGTCATGTCTGTCTGTCTGTCTGGGTATACTTTCTCAGTCAAAGGTAATTGAAACTCTTTTTCTTGGGGGCCGAATTCTGGCACCAGCTTGGTCTTGAGCGTAGTTCTAACAAGGCAAGGGTCACTATCCTGAGGTTTCTGGTGACTGCTGGGTTGGGAAGAACGACTGCAATGCAAACACTCTCTAGTTCAAACAAGTTTGTAATTTTGAGGTTTGCCGGTGATTGTATGTGTTCACAAATGCTTGTCTCCCTTTGTGTTTAAAATAGGATTGTGCATTGTTGAATCCACATTTCAAACAGAAGGAGAAGCAACCTTGATATCTGCCAACTACCCGGTGGGGTTACCAGAAAACGAACTGGTGGCCTGGCAATTTGTCATTCCATTCAACTTAAGAGCACGCATCTCTATCCTCAACTACACCACCGCAAAATGTGAGCGGAACTTTCAGACAGTCGAGTACCAGTTACCCGGGCAGCACCCTCAAGAGCTGACACCGAAAGAGGGGCAGTCTGTCGTTCTTGCTGGTAATTTCAACCTCTCCATGCAAGGCTGTAAGCAATATCAGCAGAACGCTGGGGCCCACAATTTGCATTTTAAACTTTTTGTTCAGCGCCCTGAAAATGAAGAGAGTAAGTAACCAATTCCCTCTTTTCCTTTTCCTTTTCTCTTTTCTTTGGTTAATGGGTCTGTGTGTGTGTGTGTGTGTGTGTGTGTGTGTATAAAAGATAGAGAGAGACCACACACCTCTGTGCACAGCAAAACTTAATGGGGCAAAATATGCACTATGGGTTAATAATACAGGTACCCTTTTTTCTTTTGGAAAAACACCACACTATATATACCTTGGATCTTGAACGCCTTGTCTCCCAAACAAATCGGCTCCCAAACGATCAAAACCCGGAAGTGAGTGTTCGGGTTTTCAAATGATTTTCGGAAGCCGAATGTCTGGTCTGGCTTCTGATAGGCTGGAGGAGCTTCCTGCAGCCGATCAGGAGCCGCGCTTTGGTTTCCGAACATTTTGGAAGTCGAATGGACTTCCAGAACGGATTCCGTTTGACTTCCAAGGTACAACTGCACTGGAAAAGATGGCCTCAATAAAAAAATAAAAAAATAAAAGTAAAGCATTGCTTTCTGGTAATTTTCACGCCCGTATGTAGGAATGGAGTCGGAGCTGTACCTTATATTGGTTACGATTAGAAATGGGATTTAATAGTAAATTCAGTTCCTGAATTTAGAAGGCCATTGACAACATGACTTCCCTGTCAGAGATTAAGTTTAGACAGGGGCGTTGGACATCCATTCAGTATTTTGGGCTAACTGAAGTTTACTACGTTTGTTAGGTAATACCATTATGAAGAATAGCACGTTAAAGCAAACCTTGGGGCCGTCTCCTCTTCAGGGGTTACAATGGGATTGTTGCAAAGGAGATGGTTGCCAATGTCAGGAAACTGCTGTTGGAAGAAGGGGGAGAGAGTGAGTGGACATTTTTGTGGCTGTTGGTGGATTGAAGTCACTTAACTTTACAAAAGCACAAACTTAAAAGGAGGACCCACAATCAATGACACACTGATTGATAAAGTATTCCATTAATATGCCTTGACAGTTGTTTATATGGAGAATTCAGGTAGTTCATAGTTCTATTCAAGAGAGGGGGTAACTTTCTTTACCTGTCCATGTAAATCAGAAATTGGTGAACAGCTTAACGGTTTCAAAACATGCCCCTAAGTAATTTAGATTCTTCTTTAGATCTTGCAAATCATGGAACAATAGCTGCACCATTTTCTTCTTTTTAAGAAAGGGACTAGGTGCTACACTTCTTCTAAATGATCTCTGTTTTCTTGTTTTCAGACGTAACCTACAGAGTTGACCTCATGAGAGAGAGGGACTTAAATCTTACAATATTTTCGAAGCCAACACAGCCTGGAAGTTTATGCTTGATCTGTATTAATCGTAGTAAAAAATGTGAGACCAACGTGACTTTAGTATCCGGTTCCAGTTACACTATCGCCTTACTGTGTAAAAATACAGAGAATGTGAGGGTAACGGCTGTGCAGTCTAAAGGTATGAACAAAATGTCTGGAATTTAGTTCCCTTAAAGTGTGTATTTGGCGGGGAGACATCTGACAAGAATGTACTCCTATTTTTACTTGCCCTTGCAAATGCTGTTTGTTTTCGTCATCTGTCCTTTTGTTGCTCATTAGCCTTGACTAATTAGAAATAACATTTGAGTTTTTAGATGGGCAGATGGAGCTGAGGTAAATTGTCAGTTGATGGGACCACCATCGTATGTTCTGCAAATTCAGATTGCAGAAAGTCTCACTTTCTTTTCAGGAGAACAAAAGTGTAGCTCAGTCTCCACAGATGCCATTGCTTTTAAACTTACTCTTCTGTCTTCATCATTTTTAAAAGCATGGGGTTTTGACAAGGGCAGTGCTGTTATAAGTCGGGTGCCTATGTAACCTTTGCAGTGGGCCTTATTTTATCACACTGTTTCTTTTGTTTTACCTATCTCTTAATGAGAGCTAAAATGTTTTTCTTTAATTTTTTAAATAGAGTGAAATGCTCCTTAAACAAAACAGTCTTACAGCCCTGTTATTAACTGTCATTATAGTTAGATACTGCTCTTGCTCTCGATGAGTACATGGCAGGAGGCACCATAATAAAACACAATAAATATATTCAACAGTTGTTGTTTTTTAAAAAGATAACATAGTAGTGTAACAACATAATAGCAACCTGTTCAGTAAAGGAAACTCATAACCTCAAAGCCTGGGGGAGCAAATATATATTTATTATATGTATTTAAATTGTATTTCACTCCCCGCTACTGATCACAGATTCTTGACATTTTAATAGTAAATAATAATAATAATAATAATAATAATAATAATTTTATTATTATACACCACCCATCTGGCTGGGTTTCCTCAGCCACTCTGTGTGGCTCCCAACAGAATACTAAAAACCCAACAAAACATCAAACATTAAAAACTTCCCTAAACAGGGCTGCCTTCAGATGTCTTCTAAAAGTCAGGTAGTTTTTTCTTTCCTTGACATCTGATGGGAGGGCGTTCCACAGAGCGGGTGCCATTACCAAGAAGGCCCTCTGCCTGGTTAAAAAATGACTTAACCCTTTTTGCTGGGTTCCATAAAAAAATAATAATCTTATAACGCTATAACTATTTCACTGTTTTAATTCCCCCCTTTAAATTAGTTGACTATTAAAAAAACAAATAAACTGAAATGACTCCTACCGCAAATGTTATAGGGAATGTGTGTTCGGCCTCAGATTGTTGATCATGTGAAATGGACTTTCTCCATATTTTTCTTCTTCTTGCCCATGTTTAGAGACCACAATCGCCTCCATGGGTCACTTATCTGTCTCCTGTGTAGGTGGTCATGACCACATTCCTAGGTACCTGACCTCCTTGGGAAGGGAGACATGGCCACCCCTCTTTTGTACGCCCCCTGCCATCCTCTAGCCCTAGCCTACAACAGCCCCTTGGTTGACCAGACTCTTAGCAAAATTCGTGGCTCCCCATTAGGCCTTTTTCCTTGACTCCTCTGTCCCAGACTCATCAAATTTCTGCATAGCTCTTTGATACCCCATATGTCTTCTATGGGTCGCCACCTGCCTGTTTCTCTGCCCCAGAGCCTATGGCTATAACCGTGTGTCTTTCTCATTGCAGTCTGTTGGAATTCCAAAGCCTGCCAGATGAGACCCTTCCATCTGCTCGTACCGCCGTTTCTTACTGGGCTGCCAATCTTGCTTGACACGTTTACGTGGAAACTCCAGGCCCCGGCAGACACCCTCATAGAAATCAGGTCTCCAGCCTCGAAACTTAAGCAACATATCCCAAACCAGAATCAAGTATGCTCTGGGGGTTATAGTTACTCCATTAATGGCAGCGCCCCAGAAAAGGCGTTGCGACTCGGTGTCTTCTGCCCTGGTGGAGCTATTGAGAAAATTCAGATGAAAGACAACATCACTGTAATGCTTAAGACGTATGGCAGAAGGTGGATCAGTGAGACTCTGAAACCGAACCTCACGTTGTTTTTTATGCCCGTTATTCAAGGTGAGTTTATTCTGTTTCGCTCCTCTGCATTCAAAAAGTAAAGAAAGTTAAAATCTTGTATCAGCTCAGTGAAAGGTCCTATCCAGAACTGATGTCAAATATCCCAAGGTTGAAATGTGGTTATTTTTTTGGGGGGTGTGATATCTGAGATCTAGTAAAATTTGAATTATGGCAAGGTCATCTAAAAGGGTTATATGGTTAAGGATCCACAAGCAAGAGAGGGAGCTTTCGTGGGGTCAAAATCATCCCTGTGAAAATATTTAAAATCCCACCAAAATTCACGTAGTTTGAGATTTCGGCAGACGTCAGCATGGATTTTGAAGCATTGTCTGCAATGATTGTGCCTAGACATTTTGGAAAATAATAGTAATTTAAAAAATCAGATTGCCATGAAACAAAGGGGTGCGATTTGGTAAAGACAGAAGAAAAAATACGGACAAATAATTACAACACGCAGCAGCAAGGATAAAGATTTTCACTTGTGGACTAATAAATTATAGCATGTATTAATACGAATAGAAGTCATAAATATTGCAGCTGTTGAATAAGGGACTATTATTATGATTGGAATACAATTGGATTAAATAAGACTTTGGAAGCAGAAATAAATTTTTTTTATTAAACCTGTAATTCTAGCATGAGGGGGGCTACCAAAATTATACAATTGGATATTTGATTAATTTATATTTGATTTGGTATTGTGATTTGATATGGATATAATGAGGCGTATTTTGGATTTTTGTAATTGAAAACTAATAAAAATTAATTGGGTGTGTGTGTGTGTGGAGAAAAACGAATGGTCTGGGCAAGGGGCATGGGTTTATTTATCAAAGGAGAGTTTAGCATGTCTGCTTGCAGACAGGTTTTGTGGCAGGGCGAGCTTAGATCTTCCACAGCATGTTTCGCTGCTGCTCTAGGATGGCTGAAATAGAGAAGCAGGGAGAAGGGAACATGGAAGAGGAGAACAAGTTGGTTTTCTCCTGCTCTGGAGGGTAGGACTTGAACCGGTTGCTTCGAGTTACAGGAAAGGAGATTCCGACTAAACATTGGTGGAAACTTTCTGACAGTAAGAGCTGTTCAACAGTAGAACGGTCTCCCTCGGAAGGTAGTGGATTCTCCTATCTTGGAAGTTTTTAAGAAGAGGTTGGATGGCCATTTGTCATGGATGCTTTAGCTGAGATTCCTGTATTTCAAGGGACCGGTGTTCTGTACATAGTATGCTTAGTGCTAAGGTTTAGTCTTATCCAGGGTGGATAAAAATCAATGATTTTTTAAAAAATAAAAACATCGGATTTTTAAAAAATTTAAATCTGATTTATTTTATTTAAATTGGATTTTTAAAATTTAAATCAGATTTTAAAAATAAAATGCTTTTGGAGGAAAAATCTTTCTAAAGATAGTTTTCTATTTAAGTTACATTATAGTCCAAAGGCTGTTCATCAGGAAATAAGGATTTGTTTTAAGTTTTTCATGTGTGCTAAAACCCAGTCTGTTGTTTGTTAACTGATGTGGTTAAACAATTAAAAAAAACACACACATGGATACATATGCTGTAATGTTATTGTTTTAGTTAAATAAATTGTTTAAATTGTTATTAAGGGAATGATTATTTTTCTCCTTCCGATAAAGTACAGCAGAAAAGTTGTCCAAATAATTTCATAATTACCTGTCTTTGTATTTCTACTAGCATCACCAAATCAGTAATTTTTTATATAAATGTAAAAACTACTCTGAAAATTTATTATTCCAAAAACGAAACCTTCATCTGGTTGTAAATATTAAGACTATACCAGCAAGAATGAGTCTTTCTGTTAAAAAGTGATTTAAATCAAGTCTTACTGACAAGTGATTTAAATCGATTTGATTTAAATCAAACCCACCTTTGTCTTATCATAAGTTAGGTAATTGTAAGTTACCGTATTTTTCGCTCTATAACACACACCAGACCATAACACGCACATAGTTTTTAGAGGAGGAAAACAAGAAAAAAAATATTCTAAATGAAACAGTGGATGTATGATTTTTGTGGTTCATGCTGTGGCCAGACATGTGATCTGACAGTGAGTTTGGAGTAGCCCAATGCAAAAATCCTGAGGATCCATGTGGATCCATGCTTTGTAACCACGTTTTTGCACCACTGCGACCCTAGGCAACAGTGGGTGCGTGATTTTTTTGGTGCAGGCTGTAGCCATGGACATGCTATGTTATCTGATGGTGAATTTGGGGTGACCCAATGCAAAGATCCTGTGGATCCATGCTTATAAAAGTCCCTATTAAGGATAAAACAGACAGGATATACGAAGTATGATTTCTTTTTTATTTACGGTATTTCTTTTTTGGCCACCTCTGTCACTGCAACCTTTGCTCTGTGCTTGCACACTTTTGGGCAATAGGGCATGTAACACACTTTTTTTCATCTGCCAAGATGTAGAAAATCAATTTTAATGTCTCTATATAAAATGCCTAGTGAAGCAGAAGGGTATTACATCAGCCACTGTATTAAGGCTAAACGTTTGAAGAACAGCTCTCTATGGGGGGGACGGGACTAAATTCCATTTTCAATCAATTGTTATTGTGGCAGCAATTATCAGTGTATAGCGCACAATGAGGAAATGAACTTTAAAAAAAATATATAAAAAACATTCTCACGTTATACTTCTTCAAAGAAGAGTATTAGGCTTTTAATGAAGGGGAGAGGAGAGATGAAGAAGAAGAAGAAGAAGAAGAAGAGTTTGGATTTGATATCCCGCCTTTCACTCCCTTTAAGGAGTCTCAAAGTGGCTAACATTCTCCTTTCCCTTCCTCCCCCACATAATCCTCCTGGCTCAGGAGATTCTGATTTACCTGCCGCGTTAGAAAGTATAGATTAAGATATTTGATATACAGCATATAAATCCAGAGATTTCCATGTCTCACTCTGCAATCCAGCCTGCTGTTACTTACGAGCAGGGAAGCAGGGTTTCTCTTCCAAACAAGCATACTGTCTTCCTCCAGCAGTACATTGCTTGGAGAAGCTGTAATTTGGAGGGGGCCTGGGGGCAGGGCTCTCTGCTTTTGGAAAAGAAATGAGAAACCTACCATTGTAAAGCAAAAGTCCCCTCCACCCCACCCAAGCCAGCCCTCTCTCTCTCTCTCCCACTTGCGTGTTTTTCGGCTGCCTGCGAGTCCCTAGAGAGCACGGAGAGGAGGAGGTGGTGGGCTGGAGCCTGCACGCAGTGTGACTAGGAAAGGAAGGACTCGATCATTTCCTTAACCCTCTGCTTGCCAGGAGGGCAGGGGATTCCCTGCTCTTTGTTGAGTTTGAGCAAACGCAGCAACAGAAGCGGGTGGGCAGTAAGACCCTGAGGCAGAATGCAGGAAAGCAACAGCTTCCGCCTTCCCTCCGCCCGCCCGCCGCCCGATCTTATTTTTGCCTGATTTTTGCCTATTTTGCCCCTTAGCTCCGGAGAGTCAGCTCCAGGGACCACACATTCGCTCAATAACACGCACAGACATTTCACCTTACTTTTTAGGAGAAAAAATCTGCGTGTTATAGAGCGAAATTTACGGTAGTTAAGTCTGCTGCAACTGGATTTTCTTATGGACTGTGCCAATCTTGAATGTATTGGATTTGTGACTGTTATGTACTGAAGTTCTCACCCTGGGCCAGCAGGGGGATACTGTAGATAGTTATGCAAATGAAGGATCGAAAGTGACGTTCAGTGATTGGATAGTTTGTATGCAAATGAAGGATCGAAAGTGACGTTCAGTGAATGGCTAGTTACAGAAAATGGTTACTGTTGCATTCTAGTGGAGCTCTATATAAGCAGGCTGACTGAGCTCCTCAGTTCAGTTCTGTTCCAGCTTACAAATAAAGAGCTGCTTTGGAAGAATCGCTGTGTCGTCTGATATGTTCGCCCACAACTTAACAGCGACCATTATGCTCATTTGCCTTCAGTAGCAGTAAAGCTCTGCTAGATGAAGTACAATTGCCTCTGGTCTACTTTTTGGGAAACTCTGCTACGTGTTTAAGTTTTTCCTCCACATGTATGACATAGGTGAGCAGCTCTACAATTCTATGACTCTATGAGAAGTGATTCAGTGGGATGTGAAACCAGGCAGATTCCTAGGTACACAAAAATTTTTCAGCACAGCTTAAATTGCAGGATCTGCATGTCTGAGAGATGGCTAAGCTTTCTTTCACAAAGGCTTTCTTTCATTTTGTTTTGCACGGGGAATTAAAGGGCAGCAATGACTTCGCACACTTGTTTTTTTGTGCCCCCTGCAGAAGAGTGTGTATTCAGCGTCACTCCAGATCCGAAAACCGAAGTTTACCTGCAGACCCCTAACTGGCTGGAAGGTCTGCCTCCTTTCACGTCTGTGTATTGGAACATCACCGTCCCGGCAAAACAAGTTGCGCAGCTGTCGTTCCCAAAGGACCGTATGGGTGTTACTTGTGTACAGAGCCGGGCGAACATCTATATTCAGGAACAGAGACCGAATGCGGAAGAAACCGTGCGCCGCGAAGATCAGAAACTACCTAAAACTCTCGATTTGAAGCATCATTTCTGGGTAAACATCACTAACTGTAAGCCGGCGACCAATCAACAACTGAGCATGCAGTTCAGGGTGAAGTTTGTTCAGAAGAAAGCAGGTGAGGTACCACACGTTGTGCGTTGTTTCACAATAACCAGAGGGAGGTTCCGTCCTGACAATTGTTCATCTTTCAATTCTTTGTTCTTTTCCCATGAACCTACAGAGTTGGGGAAGAACTTTCTACCTGGTTTCAGTCACACAGGGGTTAATTTCCTGGGCTATAGACAGTACAATGGTACCTTGGTTCTCAAACTTAATCCGTTCCGGAAGTCCGTTCCAAAACCAAAGCGTTCTAAAACCAAGGCGCGCTTTCCCATAGAAAGTAACGCAAAATGGATGAATCCGTTCCAGACTTTTAAAAACAACCCCTAAAACAGCAATTTAACATGAATTTTACTATCTAATGAGACCATTGATCCATAAAATGAAAGCAATAATCAATGTACTGTGCCATAAAATAAATAAGATAGTGTTGTAGATGGTAAAAATTAAAATTCCTTTTTTTTCTTACTTGCACTGACGATAGTCATTGTTTGGATGGGGGGCTTTTATCCATTTCCACAGTCACACAATCAATCAATCAATCAATCAATAGCTGAACTGGGTTCCACACAGTCGCAAAAACAAATGAACTGAAAAAGCCTCAAAAACAAAAATGTGAAATAAATGGCAAAAACGAAAGCACAAAACTTAATCCGTTCCGGAACTCCGTTTGACTTCCAAAATGTTCAAAAACCAAGACGCAGCTTCTGATTGGTGCAGGCACCCTGGAAACAATAGCCGACAACCACATTGGACACTCGGCTTCTGAAAAACGTTCGGAAACCGGAACACTTACTTCCGGGTTTTTGGCGTTTGGGAACCAAAGCGTTTGAGAACCAAGGTACCACTGGTTCCTAGCTGTCAACATGGGCTTTCTTCTCTTACACACTTCTTCTACCTATGTTGAGCATCTTTTCAGCTGCTTTCAGCAAGCTTGTATCCCCCAGACCACTGGACCACTTCCCCCGCCAGCCCACAAGGTGGTGGTGGGGTTTGCTTACAAGGATTTGAGAAGGAGATGTAAGAGTTGTGGGACTCTGCCAGCTCCCAGGGCTCTCGCACAACCTTCCCAGAGCCCTTTAAGCGAGGAGAACCTGTTGGGTGTAAGGTGTAGGTGCAAGTTTACCTGTGCTTCATTTGTTACCATAAACTGTTAACTTTGTGTAAAATGGGATGGAGCTATCAGAGGACACTGCTGTATTAGTAAAGAAGCAGCGAATGGAACGCGCTGTAAACATGCAACACCAGATGGTGCCCGAGAGCAGGAAATTTTAGAACCCTGTTTTCCATAGAGATATTTTTCGTTTGTTGAAACGATCTCATTTCTGTCTTAGTTATGGTGTTTCCCTTGTGTTTATATCCACCCAAACAAAGACACACATGGTCCATATTTTCATGGCGCAACCATGGCAGAAATGTTCAGGGGTGCTTTTAGTAAAACTCCCCGTTGAAAAATGTCAACTACCTGTGAACATTGCATATAGAAGGGAATAACTCTTCGCTTTTTTAGTGTATAAATATTCATGGTGCTGAAGAGCAAATCTGGAACATATTTCCTGTGACAGCTGAACTTTTAAATGAGGCTAGATAGTCATAGCAGTTGAGAGATTATATTATCTAAACTTTTTCTATTCTATTCGGGATGTCATACGTGGGAACATTTTTTAAAAGAGAGAACATCTTGTGCATGACTCTTTTGCAGTTGCGTAACTTCTTGTGATTTCCCACCACTTCTATTTCTCTCTTCCCCTTTCCACCATCCAGCTGTTAACTACTGGACGTCTTGCATTTGTTGAAATTCTCCTGATTTACAAGTTGCTGGGTATTTCCTCCCCCTGCCTTCCCCCAGTGTGTGCACTAAATTGCAATAAAAAGGTAAAGGGACCCCTGACCATTAGGTCCAGTCATGGCCAACTCTGGGGTTGCAGCGCTCATCTCGCTTTATTGGCCGAGGGAGCCGCCGTACAGCTTCCGGGTCATGTGGCCAGCATGACTAAGCCGCTTCTGGCGAAACCAGAGCAGTGCACGGAAACGCCGTTTACCTTCCCGCCGGAGCGGTACCTATTTATCTACTTGCACTTTGGCGTGCTTTCGAACTGCTAGGTGGGCAGGAGCAGGGACCGAGCAACGGGAGCTCACCCCGTCACGGGGATTCGAACCGCCAACCTTCTGATCGGCAAGTCCTAGGCTCTGTGGTTTAACCCACAGCGCCACCCACGTCCCTGCTAAATTGCAATATATGGATTTTAGATTGTAAATCTCTCCCAAGTGTTAAATGCATGGCATGAAAGTTTAGTCAGGAGAGAACCACGCAGCTTAACCCCTTCCCTTCCAGACCCCCTTCTATCTCTCTTCTTTTGTTCCTTTGGATTGTGTGTCTATGTTCACACGCTCATAAAAATCTGGAATGTTTCAGAAGCGAGCGAATGCAGTGACTCTGAATCAGGACAGATGAGCCACCTCTCCGACTGTTTCTCACTGAATGTCTCACTTTAACTTTTTGCAGGTTTGGCAGTCATAATTGGCGTTGTGATTGGCGGACTCGCACTGCTTTCAGCTATCGGGCTTGCCATATTCTGCACTAAGAGGAAGAAGTAGGTATCTCTTGTTCTCAGAGGTTTTCGGCGCAGATTAAAATGTCCCATTTTTTGCCAGAGGCAGACCCAGGTTTTAACGAAGTATTGCAGGCTCCAAACCAGGGAACCCTGAACGTTATTCCTTTGTGAACTGGAGCCTTGAACGTGCTTCGATCTCTTCCTACTTAAGATGTGACCTGAGCTGTTAGAACTTGCTGTGCCGATGGCATCGGGGCAGAAATCGCAGCAGGAAATTTGTCGTCCTGGCACACACACTGGCTACATGTTAACTGGTGCAAGAGCTGTATTTGCACACCTTAAGGCAGGAATGGGCCACCTGTGGCCTAACATAAAGTGCCCTCTGTAAGCAATCAGTTCAGACCCCTGGCAGCCTCCCCCAGAAGTCTGTTTTGTAGCAGGAGGTGACTAGCAGTGATTTTTAAGGCTGGTCCTCTTGAAGGACAAGTTTTCCCCCTGAGATTTATTTCTTAGTGCTTGAAAACTTGCCAAAACTGTTCCAACTTCTCTCTCCCAGTAATGCCTGCTTGTTATGAATCATTTCTTCTAAAAGTAAATTTTTCCCTCATTCCCTGGTTTAAGGCGACTACAATTTAATATAGACGGTTGGTTGAACTTGGTGGTTTCCACCACAGACTTCTTGACCTCTCTTCATACAAGTTTCCTTTTACCAACAAATGCCACCCCACCCCCCAGAGCAGCCCCCTTGGCTGTCTCGGTCAGAATACAGTCAGGAAGGGAGAGACCCAAGTTTCCCAATTCTCTTCTGCTTGTGGAAGTCACATCGTGATGAAGCAGTAGTGACTGTGATTCATGTCTGCAGTTTGCCCCATTCAGAGGCACTTGGGCCAATGTCACGAAGACTTTAGCCTGTATGAACTCTTAGAGTTCTGAATCACGTTTATTTTTAAGATGTGTATGTCTTCCCATACTATGTGAACGGGGAGACATATAAAGTGAAATTACACCAGAGGAAATGCTAAAATTAGGGTGTTATCTGACAGCAGCGTTTTTGCAGGGTGGCTATTTCACATGGTTCCCTTTGTGAAAATAAAGTGGGAAATTCAACGCTCCATCTTGAGATATGTTAGGCTGGCAGCAGTGCAGCCCAAGGCCTTCTTAGCACAGCCCCCATAACTGTAAAACTCCTTCCCTGTTAAGTTTGATTATAGCTGTTTTTATTCCACAAAGCTACAGATTCAGAAGAATCTTTAATTGCATCAGTCACTAGCCATACCAATAAAATAAAATAAAATAAAATGCACTAAAGATAGGGGTAAAGGCTGTGCAAAATGCATTCTAGAGGTTTACATCAATAATCAAAAAACAAATCTTATCCTAATTGCACCTGCTAAACAATTTGCAGTTTTGGTAGTCAGACATTTTGGCTCCTGAACGCCGCAAACCCGGAAGTGAGTGTTCTGGTTTGCGAATGTTCTTTGGAACCCGAACATCTGACAGGACTTCCGATTGGCTGCAGGAGCTCTTTTTGGGTGGCCGGGCAGAGAATGCAAGTTTATTTTTAACGTTTCTTGCTTTGTTTCTTCCCCCCCCCCCCCAGAAAAAAACAGGAAAACCAGACTCCACCCATAGGAGTGTATAACGGTAACGTCAACACCCAGTTGCCTGGAAAGCAGGGCATATTCAAAAAGAGGAAAAAGAACGAGTCTCATATCTATGCAGTTATTGATGACACCATGGTTTATGGGCACTTGCTGGACGACTCTATGAAACCGGAAAATGCCGAAATAGGCGTGTACCAGCCTTTTACCGGGCCAGTGAGTACGGCCCCTTCCCCGCCTCCGATCAGGAAAATATCCAAAGTGCCCAGCATGGAGGAATCCTCTTTCACGATATTGACTGACAGTGAGATCTATACCTTTGCACAACGCAAACCGGAAGAACTCCAGGCCAATGGTGACGTGACTTCGAGTGGTAATGGAGATGTCGGCAAGTCCTTGCTTGAGGAAAACGAACAGGAAAATTCAGAGCTCTAATGTTTATGCGACGGTTCAGATAAGAAACGAAATCTTGCACCCATTTTCCCGTGATTTACCTTTTTCAAAAATAATAATGATGAAAACAAAATACTTTGGTTGCTGCAGCTCTGTTCCGGTTTTCGAATGAACATGCTCAGACAGTGTATTTGCGTAGCATGTTTTGCAGGGATACAAGTAACTTTGAACATGGAAAAGGACAGCGAGGCTGTATTTTCAGTCGTCGTAATAGCAGACCTGTGTTTTTTAAAAGGCAAGAAGAGATTGGAGCTTAAACGAAGCTGGAGAACTAGGTTGCCAAAAATATCTTCCTGTGTTTCTTGTGAAGATTTCAGCCATACTACAGAATAAAAAATGCGGGTGTGCAGAATGGCATAGTCTGAAGATGGTTTTTTCACACAGTAGCCTTGTCATAGGAATATGACTTTTATTATTCACGTGGATTCTCTTCCTTGGATGGGACGAGGATTACACCAGTCCTTGAACGGACAATGCCTACAACAACTGAACAGCAAAAGTTATTGTGCTGTTTGTGAAAAAGTATTCCCCTTCTCTTTTCAATCAGTTGTATGGTGTGTGTATGTATATATAGTTCAGGACATTTCATTTTCTTTCCTTTTTCATCTATAATTTTGTTGTGATTGTCCTCCAGTGGTGTTTTTAAAACTAAGACCAGTGTGTCGTCCAGGTTCTTTTTTATTTTTATTTAAATAAAAACAATTATTTAATTTTTATTCATGCATATAACATAGCAGTTTCCACTTCGCCAGCAAATATGCAAATGATATAATATTGCCAAAGTTCCTGTGCAAAGAAATGATTAGTTCAGCACGAATGAGGCTGCTAATCTGCGCAACCCTTATGGTGCAAAAACGATAGACTTCAGTGTAAAAAATTCAAAATTATTTATGGGCTTGACCTTGATGGATGTTTGAACAATGTTATGCTCTGAACACACGTGAAAATATGCAACTTTTATGCATATGTTCAACCAGTGGCTAAGTCCTTGCCTTCAAATATATAAGAACAAGGAAGACAACAATGCCATTTTCATGGCCTGTACAATTCTGGTTTTTGGCAAAATAAATTGCCCCAAACCTATGTATTCAAGTGCCTAATTTTGTGGGTAGGTGAGCCGCTTTGTGGAACATAAATAATTTTTGCACACTGTGCTAGACTTCCAGAGAGGCGCCAGCTGGCTTAGTGTGAATTAACTCTTGCAAAGTGATGATTAAACAGAATGCAAGTTAAGAAAGGATGGAAGGGGAAAGTTTGCATTTTTTTTGATGACATAACACTATGTCACTTGACTGAATACGATTGCCGTACGCAGGCTTCACTCAGAAATATTCAGTAGTTAATACAATGTGGGGAAACATTTCCACTGGGCTTTGTGGCAGCTACTTGACATTAGCATTTCATCTTTGTACATAAGTGTTTGACTGTTGTGCAAGGCCTCTTGCAGAACTCCCATTTACCTCAGCAGTTCTTGAGCAAGGGCTGCTTCTGGCAGCGTGTGTCTGTGGGCGTGCGCGTGCATCATACGCAGAGTTTTAACTAGTCACAGAAAACGGATAATAGTTAAAATCCAGAAGGCTGTTTGGTGATGTTGTGCGAGAGCAATGGGGCTTCCTAGGGCTTCCTTCCCCAAAGAAGCTGCCTTAAAAAGTTCAAGTTGCTCCTGAGACTCAGGTGAAATATCAGCAGTGACTTCTGTGCTGGCAAAAACGAGCAGCGCCTTGTAGTTTTACAAAGAACTTTTCTGGATTCCTTCCAAGTAACGCATTCAGCAAATTTTGTGCCGCCATATAAATTTGTACCACCCAGTTCTTTTCACTCTGTCGTTTAAATGTGTATCAGTTGAAGCCAGTAACTCCAGTTTCCATCATTAGCATTTAATTTTCACATCAATAGTACTTCTAGTCTGTGTATTGGCTCTCGTCACTTAAATTACATACAGTAGTCAGGATTTCTTTTTGCAGTTCATTCCATGGTCTGTGTGAAATATCTTGGCCTCGTGTTCACTGTTGGGCACCTCCCATTGCACGGTTGTGAAATGGATGAGGCTTGGGTCTCCGTAAACATCATTTTTGTATGCATATATCATACGAATTTGTCCTGGAAGGTTGGGCCTATTTTATAAATGGGAAAGTATGTTATGACACTGGGCATTGTCTCGCTAAAGTTGCGTAAAACCTCGTTTCCTGGCAGTACGACTATTTCCAAAATGATTCCCACCCACCCCTCAGATAGAGTTGTATTTCTTGTAGCCTCTGTGAATGCAGAACACTATGCAATAAAACCTTCATGAGAATTGCAGGCTCAGACTGGAGTTGCATAATTATCCCCCAAGTTATTTGTTTTGATGCCACTATTTCTATATGCCGCTCAATAACTTATTCACTGTATAGTCCTCTTTTTTTTAATGCTGCATTTGAAGTGTTGTCTTACAAGATGCTGTCATTGTAAATATTTGTGACACCTTTGTACCTGACTGAAATCCACAGTGTTCCTGTTCCACAGACTTAAAATGCTGTAATTTTTAAATTCCAGGCTGTTTTTTTAAAAAATAATAATAAAAAATGCATTTTCTGTGTTTAACAGAGAGGGACATGTTGATGCAAAGGGTCTTTTTTTTACATGTGTGAGTTCTTCAAAACTGAAATAAAATGGTGTTTACAGTTAACCACTGCTTACCTGCATCTTAAGTAACTACTGTACTTAACAGAAGGGCTTTTTTTTTTAACTCCCTTTTTTGATTTGCTGGTGGCTCCAGATTGGCAGGAATTGTGCTCAAAATGGCATCATTCTGGTGCTGCTTGATGTGTGTGTAATTGGTTATGAATCATTGGTGAAAAAACAGGAATGACAGCGTACTGTTAACCCGTATCCTCCCTTCTGACAGGACCATTTCTGCTTAGGGTCCAGCAGTGTTCGAAACTCCTATTACTCTAGGTGCATTTTGTGACAAGGAAATTTATTAGTGCAAGCAGATTTTGAGCTCTGGGCATAATACTGTGCCTAAGATTTCAGATTTAAAAACTGCAGAGTGGAAGGAAAGGAGGATCTTTTTCTGCTTCCCCACTTCCAGCTACTCTCTGAAGACTGGAGAAGAGACCCTCTTAGGAATATTAGTGGGGTGGGCAGGGGAAGGACTAGACCATGTGAAAAATGAACACAATATTTTAGCTGTAGTTAATTCATTTTCAGCACTGTATTCTTGTTCTAAAAAAGCACACCTAGACATTCCGTTGTTGCGCCCATAACCTCGGTTTCAGGTGCCATTCAGCTCCTATTTTTCATAGCTTAGTTTCTAACAGTGGGGGCCAGATAGCTATACCTCCTGCCCTCCCAGAATTCTGTTTTTATTTTCCAGCTGACTGTCCCATAGGTTCTAAGCAACTTCAGGCCTCATTCAATTTCCCCCCTAGGGTGTGTGTTCATGTTACCACCTTAGATTTGCATTTAAGACCCTTTTCATAGCTCTGCTGATTCCTCTCTGGTTTCACAGTGGCCCTGTTATGTTTTCTTCTGCTTGCCTATTTAGTGACAAATTCTTACCTGTACAGCAAACTGAAAAGTATCTATGAATATATTGGTCTTTCCTGAACAGACGACCGTTTGTCTCCTTGACATCTGAGAGGAAATTAGTCAGTAAAGGTGAAGAAAACCTCATTGTTAGTAATTCAGGTGAGCAAGGATCCACCTTCAATTGCAGGTGCTCCAGAATCTAGCAGTCATCCAGTGGGTTATAGTCAACTAGGTTTTACTCAAAAGTAGGCCCACTGAAATTAATAAACATGATGAAGGCCAGGGCGTACCAACCCAGAGGCACCGTCTTGCGCCCAAGATTTGGGGGGCAGCGGCACATGTTTTGTGCGCGTCATATCGCATCATTGGGCGATGCGCCCTCGATGATGTGACGTCATGCGTATGACATCACACACACATGGCTTGCATCGCCGGGAGGAGGCTTCCTCGGGACGAAACAGCCATTGAACTGCGCTGTGCTCGGTCCCTTCTGCCCCATCAACATCAAGGGGGCCCAGTAAATATTGAGGGGGGTGAAGACCTCTCCACCCCTATGAGTTCACTGGTGTTCAAAGTCCAAGTGCGCATGTCATTCCATACCCAAACTCCATAGGTATTCTGTACCGTCTTGAGAAATACTCCTGTTTGATGCATTTTCCCCACAAAGCAGGTTCCATCCGATTTGAAAATGGAAGCCTCGGCCCAGTATACCTGAAGGAGCGTCTCCACCCCCATCATTCTGCCTGGACGCTGAGGTCCAGTGCCGAGGGCCTTCTGGCCGTTCCCTCACTGCGAGAAGCAAAGCTACAGGGCCTTCTTGGTAGTGGCGCCCTGTGGAACGCCCTCCCATCAGATGTCAAAGAGATAAACAACTACCTGACTTTTAGAAAACATCTGAAGGCAGCCCTGTTCAGGGAAGTTTTTAATGTGTGACATATTTTTAATCTTTGTTGCAAGCCTCCTAGAGTGGCTGGGGGGACCCAGCCAGATGGGCGGGGTACAAATAATAAATTATTATTATTATTATTATTATTATTATTATTATTATTATTGAATTTTAGAGTTGGAAGGGACCCGAGGGTCATCTAGCCCAACCCCCAGCAATGCAGGAATTCTGCCTACACCTTCCCTGGGTGGCCTCAAACCACAAACCTTCTTGTTAGCAGCCAAGACACCCTAAGCCTTAAACTGAGATACGTACATTTCAGGCTACCGTTGTCCATGTGCAGACACAGGTTAGGTCTGGGGAAGAAAGACATTCCCGCCTCTTCTCTGGCCTGTACAGCCAGTGCTTTTTTTCCTTAAAAAGAAATGTTTAGGGGTACTCTCATTTTCCTACTCATATTGAAATACTGCCCCTCAATGAGGCCAAACCTAGATTCACAAAATGTTTAGGGGTATGCGTACCTGAGTCCCTTCCCAGAAAAAAGCACCATGTACAGCAATGTACCCCTGAGGGTGAAAGAGGAGAGCGCAAAATATGGTCTGAAGCTCAACATAAAAAAAACGAAGATCATGGCCCATCACCTCCTGGCAAATAGAAGGGGGAAAAATGGAAGCAGTGAGAGATTTTACTTTCTTGGGCTCCATGATCACTGCAGATGGTGACAGCAGCCACGAAATTAAAAGACGCCTGCTTCTTGGGAGAAAAGCAATGACAAACCTAGACAGCATCTTAAAAAGCAGAGACATCACCTTGCCGACGAAGGTCCGTATAATTAAAGCTATGGTTTTCCCAGTAGGAAGTTTTCCCAGTATGGAAGTGAGAGCTGGACCATCAAGAAGGCTGATTGCCGAAGAATTGATGCTTTTGAATTCTGGTGCTGGAGGAGACTCTTGAGAGTCCCATGGACTGCAAGAAGATCAAACACATCCATTCTAAAGGAAATCAGCCCTGAGTGCTCAACTTAATTGGCGAAAGATATTTTTTTTGAAAAAATCCCTAAGCCCCGGGGTCACAATTTCAGAAAAAATGTGACTTTCGGCAATTCACTCAAAACTGGTGCCCAACGGTTGCAAATGCTCCCCTGAAAGGTTTGGCGGTTGAAACAGAAGGCTTTTTATCACAGCACAAGAAATCAGCCCTCAACAACTTAACTGGCGGAAAAACATTTTTTTGAAAAAATCCCTAAGCAGCGTTGTCTTAATTTCAGAAAAAAATCTGACTTTCAGCAATTCACTCAAAAATGGTACCCAACGGTTGCAAATGCTCCCCTGAAACGTTTGGTGATTGAAACAGAAGGCTTTTTATCACAGGACAAGAAATCAGCACTCAATAACTTAACCAGCTGAAAAATATTTTTTTGAAAAAATCCCTAAGCCCCAGGGTCACAATTTCAGAAAAAATCTGACTTTTGGCAATTCAATCAAAAATGGTGCCCAAAGGTTTCAAATGCTCCCCTGAAAGTTTTGGTGATCGAAACAGAAGGCTTTTTATCAGAGGACAAGAAATCAGACCTGGACAACTTAACCGGCAGAAAAATATTTTTTTTGAAAAAATCCCTAAGCCCCGGAGAAAAAATCCAACTTTTGGCGATTCACTCAAAAATGGTGCCCAATGGTTGCAAATGATCCCCTGAAACGTTTGGCGATCGAAACAGAAGGCTTTTTATGACAGGACAAGAAATCAGCACTCAATAACTTAACCAGCTGAAAAATATTTTTTTTGAAAAAATCCCTAATCCCCGGGGTCACAATTTCAGAAAAAATCTGACTTTCGGCAATTCACTCAAAAATGGTACCCAACGTTTGCAAATGCTCCCCTAAAAGTCTTCGCGGACGAAACAGAAGGCTTTTTATCACAGGACAAGAAATCAGCCCTCGACAACTTAAACGGCAGAATTTTTTTTAAAAAATCCCTAAGCCCCGGGGTCAGAATTTCAGCAAAAATCTGACTTTTGGCAATTCACTCAAAAATGATGCCAACGATTGCAAATGGTCCCCTGAAAGTTTTGGTGGTCGAAACAGAAGGCTTTTTATCACAGGACAAGAAATCAGACGTGGACAACTTAACCGGCAGAAAATTATTTTTTCCAAAAAATCCCTAATCCCCGGGGTCACAATTTCAGAAAAAATCTGACTTTCGGCAATTCACTCAAAAATGGTGCCCAACGGTTGCAAATGCTCCCCTGAAAGGTTTGGCGGTCGAAACAGAAGGCTTTTTATCACAGGACAAGAAATCAGCCCTCGACAATTTAACCAGCGGAATATTTTTTTGAAAAAATCCCTAAGCCCCGGGGTCACAATTTCAGGAAAAAATCTGACTTTCGGCAAACAGATCCTGAAGCTGAGGCTCCAATTCTTTGGCCACCTCATGAGAAGAGAAGACTCCCTGGAAAAGACCCTGATGTTGGGAAAGCTGGAGGGCACAAGGAGAAGGGGACGGCAGAGGACGAGATGGTTGGACCGTGTTCTCGAAGCTACCAGCATGAGTCTGACCAAACTGCGGGAGGCAGTGGAAGACAGGAGTGCCTGGCGTGCTCTGGTCCATGGGGTCACGAAGAGTCGGACACGACTAAACGACTAAACAACAACAACAACAGCAATGTAAGAATGCGACTTGTAATGCAGCAGAGGATAGTGACCTTCCTGTGTTTCAAGCTGCTCATGTGAATTTCAGTAGATCTACTCGAAGTAACTGACTACCACTGTAGGTAAGCTGGAAACACCTAGCGTGTTCTTTAAAAATCCAAGCACATTCCTTTGACTTCTGTGACACATTCTTCCTCATACTGCTCTGTCTGCACCTGCTTGCTTGTGATTTAAATAACCTTGATGAATCAGACCCCATTCAACATCAACAAAGATTATGACGAAGGCAAGGAATCACATTCCTTACCAGAGATTTAATGTATGCTTGTTAGGGCAAGCTGTGTGGTCCACCGTGACAATCCTAAAAGGAATAATAAATGAAAGCTGATTTTTAAGTTACTGCTGGCTGCTTTTTCTTTTTTTAAAAAAAGAGGTGTCATTTTTTCCATCTTTTCTTTTTTCCATCATATGCATGCTCTGTTGGCTACTAACTCCCAGAATTACATGATTAATGCCCAATTAAGGACTTGAGGCCAGACATAGGATAGC